TGTATATGTTGCTCCAAGGTTATCCATACTTTTCCAGTGTTCAATATGTGTGGGATATCAAGGGTTTGAGAATGTCCTCCTGTCCATCTAGTGAGTGAGCGATGCACATAGGAACATCGGTCTTACTATGCAATAGTTTCGACCACCTAGATCTTCTTTTTCATGTCTTCTAGCGAATTTCACCTTGATATAATAAACCAGGTAATGCAAACTTTGTAAGCTAAAATTAGGTCTCCAATAAAGGTTATTCTCGTATGTGCAGTACTCACTAGTTAAATTGGCTTAAAAATGCCCTTAAAATCTTTACTTCGCACACATACTGAACAGATAAAACTGTTTATGCTACAGTTTGTTGGACACATGTCCTACCACATGGGCAGCCAATCCATTGTAGGAATACGTATACACTCACAATAAGATAATCGAGTTCATCAGACGGTATGCTTATGCTTTTGCGAAATTAATTTGATCAAAATATTAAGCGGTAATAATTAAACGGTGGATATTATTGACGAGTATCGCGAAAAGTCAGGTTTTGAGCAAATACCGCATCATGCATGTAGTTATTTTACTACTGCATCGCAAGACTTTCTGCATGTAGTGAGCTGTTTACGAAAACAGAAGACCATGCGCAACGTATAGTTGGTATATTTATGTGAAACTGTTCACCAGATTATAGAATGTAATTGCCGTAAATATTAAACTATACCAGCTTTTAACAAAGCAATTATCCGATCGATATGCGAATATTGTAAGGAATTTAGACCTATCAGTAGTTGACGGAAGTCACAAGGTGAAAGTCGTGGGTAGCTCACCAGGTTTACCATAGCGGTTCTGAATAAAAGAAGCCAGGAATATAAGAAGGAATTAAAGCTTGTGGAACATTTTAGATCCTATAATTAAACGGTGAATTTGCTCACAATGCGTGGTGATAAAACTATAGTCTTACTAAGGTAATGAACATAAGTAAGTAAAACTATGGTTACGATTTGTTAGTAAATTTTGAATCTTCGACAATGTTGGTCATATAGGATCCAAACTAAGGTTTGGATTAATGGACAGCTGATTAGGTGGGTTAGATACGCGCCCTTGCCCGTTTGAAACCAAAACAAAGTAATTGGGTAAAATGACGGTTCTATAATTCATCATAAATTTAAATGTACATTATTACCTAAACAAATACGACCATGTTATGGCTCAAAGCAGACAGCCGATTATATGACAGTGACTTATCGATCGGATCAAGGATTCAGAATCTCGATACACTATTCTGGTCCGTTGTCCCCAACTCTGCTAACTCGATCAAGAAGTCTGGGTAAGGTGTAGAAAGTGTATTCTACAGACAAACAGCAGATAACAAGTCAGGCAGGCAGATCAGATCAAGCATACAAGTCAAGCGTATTTATACAATTATTTACAATCGATAGAAAATTTTTAAACATTAATCAATGAGTTCATTAATTGACCTATTTGCGCATGTAATCGATAGTTCATCAATTGACTGCTATTCAAACATTTAATCGATTAGTTCACCAATTGACCCCAATAAAAATATCTAACATTTAATCAATAAGATGATCGATAAGATAAATTTTAAAATATGAGTTTGGGGATCTATCGTCCCCAACACTCCTCCCCTTTTTTGGAGATCCGGAGTTGATGTCCGGATTTTAAATTTTTCTCGCGTCTATCCTCCCCCTCGAAATAATGTTGGGTCTTCATAAATCCAAATTACAATTAATTTGATTGTCTTTAAAACATATTGCACAGGGAATGCAGTAAAATCGATTAGATATTGAGGATAAACGCCATCCAATTCGAAGTCATCAGGGTTTAAATCTTTAGTAAGTAGTGGATCATTATGATAATCGGCGTCCAACAAAACTGTACCAGGTTCTTGGTTATTATTTGATGCGTGGAACACATTTTCTGGCAAAGCAATGAGATCTTCTCGTGAGCTGGATACGTTGCTGTCTGCACATGCTGTTTCGGGGATAACGGAGTTCGAATCCATTGCCGGGCATCTTTCTGAAATGGAAAGTTCTGGACCACTGGGCGCATCATGGATGGCTGCCGTTCCGTTTGAAGTACAGTTAATCGAGGATTCATGGAGGCTGCTGTCATTTTCCAGCTCACTGTGTAACTCAGATATCAATCCATCCACTTCTGTCGCATCTTCATAGCATGACTGACTTAGCAGCTGCGTGCGGAACTTGACTAATAACTCCAAATGTCGTTCAAAGAGCAGCTGCAATCGATCGGAAGGGAGTGTCATTTTTTGGATCAGCACCAGCAATGAAGATTACTGTATGAATAATGACCAATGTCGTTCAGGGACACTGATGACAAACTGGATACTGATTGATTGAATAATTAGACTGGATTTCGTCCAATTACAGAATGACTTTGGATTGTATTTTTTTTACCCCGTCGCCAATTGTTATGGCTCAAAGCAGACAGCCGATTATATGGGGATCTATCGTCCCCAACAGACCACTAAGCTATCCAACCAATAATTGTTCAATTGATCAAATCTAAATTACAATAAATAAGGAAGTTGACAAAGGATGCAAGAAAATTACCAATCACAACAAATAAATGTTATTCTATCCTGTCTGGATAGACCACGCCCAGATTCGTCCGAAAGATAATATTTGGTCGCTTTATTACACAGTGTTTCCAATTCTGGAAGAGTGCCTCAATTCACAACCAAAACTGCACAATTCCAGTCAATACAGGTAAATCACTCAAAAGGAGGGACAAACTAATATGGCCGCCGCTAAGACTAAGTATAAAGTAAAACAACACAAGCACAGTTCGGGAAGAAACATGGAGACTTAGCGAAGGCGTATAAAAAAATAAAAACTGTAATAAAATACAAATATTAATAATTCAAATGTAATCAAAAAGTTAACAATGCACAACTAAGGGGATCAATAGGTACAAAGTGCAAGTATATACATGGAGGGATTTTCACACATACATAAAACATTCAAAACAGATCTTACAGGTCATGACTAGTTGTTTGAAAAGTAATGAGCAAACGTTCTCATAAAAGGCTGACTCTCTTCTAATCAAACTGCTGATCATACGGTAATTAGCAATAATTGGCCTAAATGTAGCTATTAAGAATCATACAAGTAATTTTCGGCAAAGGACGTAGTTTGGAGAAACCTGAAGGATAGACTTTATAATAAAAAAATTGGTACTCAGTTCATAAAAGTCAATTAATTACTAGTGAGCATAGATAAAATGTTGCCTATCCATATATCGTCCTAGATAGCTGTTCATATTTCAACCAGTAGTTGGAAATTTTATCTGAAAGGACCTTACAATGAAATGGCCAATTAACATCTTCATTAAGTCTCATTTTCCCTAAACGAAACTTTGCCAGTATAATAGTTAATTAGACGGTTGATTCGCTGTTTAAAATAAGTCTCGAGCAAACTTTGTGCTGAAATGTAGAGGAACCTTAGGGAGAATCAAGGTGATATTCTTTGAAGAAATTTGATGAAAATTCAAGCAATAATCCTCTGAAACGTTGTGATAATTTTGCCTGTGTTTGCCTGGCAATCCATGATTAATTTATGCAAGATAGTTTACCCCTAACAAATATTTAAGACAAATAGTCTTTCAGATCTGATGAACGGTTGGTGTTTTGTCGAAGGAAAATAACGAAATTTCCTTGAGAACGCTGTTTCTATCTGATTTTCAGAAACCGAACGCGACTGAAGAAAGCTGTACTTGCGATAAATTGTTTTTACAGAGGACCCAAACATAATTGGATGTACTAACAACGAGTCTTTTAATAATTAAACACCAACATTAGGTAGCAAAAACGTCTGTAAAGTCAAAATTTGAACATAGATTGTAAATAGTTCGACGAATCTTTCGAAACTTCTATGGAAGCCGTCAAATAAAGTATAACCTACCAACTGACGGGGTTTACGAGCTACCAGAGAATAATCAAGTGCCGTTTGGCTTTAAATATTCTGAATTTTGCACATTACCAAAAGATTTCTTTCTCGTCTAAGCGTCTCCGGCGTTCTCCTCTATTTTCTCCTGTAAAACTTGGTCCGTATGCGCTAGAAAATTGTTCTATAAGCAAAACGTCAATTACAGTTTGCAAAAACATTACCAATATTAGGTTCCCAGTGGCACATTTTCATTGTAACTGACATGTATGTTAGGCACATGATGAAACCTGCAAGGAAATGGAAGTAAGCAACTTATATGACGTTTATTGGATCCAAATAGTTACTAAGAGCGCCTAGTTAAAAGAATGGTGCTTAATACGAAGTTTTTTCAACTACGTCTCACTAGCTTTAAATACCTGGGTGTGACTATAGTCCGAAATTCATATGTACCATGTTTAATTTCTCACCTAATTACTGACGAATCACGCAGGACGTTCGATTGGTTTTGGGTCCATTACAATGGTAATTTCACCTCGACATCCATGGAATTACTACTACTTACGTTCGGACGTCCATTGTCAGTATCATACAGGGATACATCATTGGGGACGAGAGAACTGTTGATTAAGGAACATGCAGCACCCGAATCTAGCGAAATTGTAACTAGGTGGTTAAATAAATTACCACATAATATTTTGGCGAACGGTCTATCATCATCACACGAAATCCACAGAAATGGAGCAATCGACATTGAATGTATCCTTGTGCACAATTGAGTAGAGGCGGTAATATGGTTCTTTTAGATGGCTATTGTGGGAATTCCCTATATCACTCAGACAATTGTAGAAATGATCATTTAAGTATTTTTTAGCGATAAAAACATTCCCTTTCGTGAACAACATCGTCTTGTGAGGAGTATCTCAATCTAGGTTTTCACAAAACTACGTTATATGAGGTAGTTTTGTAAAAGGCATGTATTGCTTCGACCTAAGTCTTCAGTACGCGCACAGATTATCAAACTGGTTTCAGTTTTTTCAACTCGCGAAATCGTTGTATAGAGAAAACTCAATATACTGAGATTTATTTATTTTATAATCCGTATAGTTACATTGGTTTATGTACTTCGGAGTTACGGGAAGACTTTCGCTTGCTCTGAGATGAGACTAACGAAAATACTCATCGGTCTATATGTGGGCTCGTAATCAATTGCATTTGCATCCCGTTAGTTCACAAAGCATTAATACAGTAATTTCCACAGTAGTTTGTCAAACAATTATTTAGGTTTTGTGTAGAGTGTGCAGTGGGATTATGGAACGGTCTAATTGACGTACATGTATGCTAGTCTTTTTGTTCGGGTGCATATCGACTCACAAAATGATTAAACTTCATAAGGTGTGCTATATGATGGCTTGCTGACTAAAGTCATTGAGTTCACTATAGTTGAACATTCACACTTACGAATAACTAAATATTTTACTTGATCTTATATAGCAAATATTCACTTGTTATCTTGCTTACACAAGTTTTAAAATTTTTTTAGACTATCAATCATAGCCCAGATAAATAAGTTCTTTTCACTTTCTAAGACTAAGTTTCGCCAGCCGATTCATAAATTCTGCATTATTCACTCACTATGATAACATAAATTTTTAAAAAAATGATTACCTCATTTTCCTTCTCACAGATCTCATATTTCTGTGTTTGAATTATTATCTCTTAAATCACAGTGTATATTTACTCTATTTTCGTCTAAAACAGGTATGGGATAAAAACATAAACTGTATAACTTGAAAATTGGTTCAAATGCATCTTAGGTTGATAAAATAGATTAGTTTTAATTAGGAAACGGTGACAATGTGGTCTCACGAAGTCTTTGAGTAGCAATATAACTATGTTTGGAATGCGTTTTCTATACTTTGATTACTAACATGTTGCTTTTGGACTGGTCAACATTATGTGGATTAATCATTGCGAGTAAACTTAGTAGTCTGTTATGTATTACTATATGACAAATATGGTCTTTGGATGTAGACGTGAGTTGCAGTTTTGTGATCATTGATATCTTTGTCGCATTGCTCAGGTATCCTAGGAAGATTGAGTAAACAACATTGAGGTAAAACACAAAGTACTAGAGAAAGATAGGGAATCGAGTAGTGTGGTTAGAAATTTTTATCGTCTGAGGTAGTTGGGCATGTTTTACGTATGTCTAAATGTCATCTATCTTGAGGGTCTATGCTAGCTGGTGTAGGAGTAGGTTTGGAGAAAACTAAGCTAGGTCAAAAGATAAAGATGTATCAGTTCATAAAATCACTGATTGTTGGTCTAAGCCGTATTAGCAGGTACGGGCTACCTGGTTGGGGCCCGCCCGACAATCACAATTACTGGTTGGAGGCGTTAAGTAAAGTAGCTCTGAATTGGTCTCGGTAGAGCTAATAGATTTACTGTCCATCTTACTTTAGATTTTAAGTCCCAGTATTCTTTCATCCTTTTTTCATTCCGTCTCTTCAAACCATATAAATAAGTTAGCCTTTTTCATCATTACTGTTACATTATTTCTACTCGGCCATTCATACTTCTGATTTTATTTTGTCTTACTGATGTGGTTTGACAGCCGTACGTTGATTAGGACTAATTGGCCAACTGTTAACTGTTGTAAAATGAGAAAAGATTTTCGTCTCTTTCGCAAATTTTGGAACTAAATAAAATATGTGACAGTACGGATAAGATTATCCTAAGTTGATAGGGAAATCTAATCAAATAACCAAAATATACATATAACCAGTCAGTCGTCAATAATAATACAACTGGAAAGTCTTTGTTTATTTACATTGAACTGCTCTTATTATATTTCTGTCTAGAGGGTTAAGAAATTGTTCATATTTAAATATATTTTCTTAACACTTACGTATGATTTAGTGTTTCCAAATTGAAATATTATATCTTTACTTTTTTCGTGTAAAATTTCTCTTTATCATTTTGAAATCTTTTAGATAGTGTTTAACTTGATCAATGTTTAACATATTTGAAAGTAATAAAGATAATACAACTGAAGATGGAAGGCTATTGTATAACTTTTTCAGCCTACTTTATATTTTTGGAGGAGCGGTTCCTTATATTCCACAATATTTAAAAATTCGCAAAACACAATCTATTAAAGGTTTTTCCTCATTTGTTTGTTTTATACTTTTAATATCGAATGTTCTAAGAATATTGTTTTGGTAAGTTTTTCATTATTTCATTTACTTATTATGTTTTTAGTGGAATAAGTAGTTACCCCTTCTTTTTCGAAACCAAACTGAAAATCATTGCGTTATAAGATAATGTTTCAAGTTTTAAACGTATATGTTTTTTATAATGAGAACTGTTCGATAAGGTATACATGACAATTAGATACTATTAAGACGATAGTATATACTGTTTCTCCTACTAAAATCTTGGTTTTTAATGTTTCATCTGGGACGTTTATTTATTTACTTAGTACTGTAATATTACGAAAGATTGAAAGATTATTACTGGATATTTATTTTACAATGGACTCGATCATATAATCACAACCGTCCCGCACTATTACTATATTAGTGCCATATTTGGGTAAAGTGTGCTTCAGAACCCTACAAAGCTGGTCACTCCAAGTTTGTTTCTTAGTAGTAACCACATGACTTGAAAATTATTATTATTATTATTTTTATTTGAACACATAAATATTGGTACAAGAGAGCGCCAATATATATGCGCCACACAAAACAATGGGAATTCGAAGAGAAGTAGAAAGAGAAAAAAAACTAAGGAACGCAAAAGAAAAAGAGAACAACGACGAAGAGATTGGAGTAAGGTAGTGTGGTAGTAACGACGGAACGAAAAGGTACAATCAGAAGAAATCTTTCAGTTAGGGAAGACACAACCACTTTTTATGAAGAAAGTAAAAGAATGTTACAGCAGGATCGCCACTGGCTTCTATTCTGAGCCATATCTGATAACGTCTCTAGCCACTGTGTAGCACCATCTCTCGGACCCCAGCCAGGGAGTCGTGAAGGACCAACACAAGCCAGTCCTTTGCAGCTTTCTTTCATGCCACGACACCATGTCATATACTGACCACCTCTCCGCTTCTTCCAACCAGTCCCAGAGTCGGCAAATAATGCGCGACGTGGAATTCTCTGGGACGACATTCGGAGAACATGTCCAAGCCACCGAAGTCGGTGTTTCAAGATGGTGACATCGATTGCATTATCATCTCTGTGCCCGAACACACGATGCCGAACCTCTGCATTACTGACATGGTGTTGCCACTGAATGTCAGCAATCCTTCGGAGACAGCGATGATCGAACACAGAGAGTCGTCTAACGTCCTCAACTCGGAGAGGCCAGGTTTCACAAGCATAGAGCAAAACTGCTCTCACCGACGCGTTGTAGATCCGGCCTTTTACAGCCAGACTAACATCACGAAGGCGCCAAAGGTGGCCCAGATTGGCATAAGCCGCTCTGACTTTCACTATTCGTGCATTGATCTCATCACTCACACCCCCACCAGCACTTATGCAGCTACCCAGATACACGAACTTCTCAACTACGTCTATCTGCTCACCGTCCAGCGTGAGTACAGGATTAGAATCCTGCCAGTCTTGTAGAAGTACTTTGCACTTCGAAGGTGCAAAGCACATACCATACCTACGGACACTGATTGCCAACTGATTAAGTGCGGATTGCATGCCTTGGGCATTATCGCACAGTAAGACAATATCGTCCGCATACTCAAGGTCGAGAAGTCTTTCTCCAGGCAACAGATCCACACCACCATTACTTACATTCATCAGAGCTGTTTCCAGAATGTCATCGATGGCAAAGTTGAAGAGGAATGGTGAGATTGGGCAACCCTGCCTAACCCCACTGCTCGAATGGAACAATGGAGAGAGGTGGTTGTATGCCCTCACTCTGCCTGAGGTGTTTTTATACAGGGCTTTTAGGATGTTAATAAACTTCTCAGGCACACCCTTTTTTCAATAGACAATCCCAGAGAACAGTCCTATCCAACGAATCGAAGGCAGCCCTGATGTCAAGAAACACTACGATTGTTGGCCTTTGAAAAGTATGGCGGTGTTTCTAACATTTGGCGGAGGGTGAAGATATGATCAATACATCCTCGACCAGAACGAAACCCGGCCTGCTCCTCGCGAGTCAATCTTTCTCGGGTTTTGAACAACCTACGAAGAATGACGGAAGCCAATAGCTTGGACGCAATCGGAAGTAAACTTATCCCCCGATAGTTGTTACAAGAACGACGTGAACCCTTTTTAAAGATAGGGACAACTATCGACTCATTCCATGACGTTGGTACACTCTCTAGTTCCCAAACCTTTGTAAACAACGTCGTCAATTCCTTAGTCAAAAAGTCACCACCATCTTTAAAAAGAGCCGGAGGTAAGTCATCTGGGCCAGGTGATTTGTAACGCTTCAAGAGTTGGAGTTCCTTGCGGACTTCCTCCTCATTTGGTGGATCAGTCGTCACCGGCCATGGAGAGCAGGACAGTCTGACCGATGTTGCCGGAGCAGCAGGCCAGTTGAACTGCCCTTCGAAAAATTCTGCCCATCGTCCAAGACGTCGGTGGATGTTAGTGATTGGCATCCCATCATCCTCGCAGATTGTTTCACTCACACCAGACTTCTTGCTGCCAGTGACTCGGATGAGCTGGAAGAGCTTCCGGTAGTTACCAGATGCAGCTGCTGCTTCCAGCTCATTAGCACGCATCGACCACCAGGCTTCTCGGTCCTTACGCAAGCTTTGCCCAATTTCCTTACGTAACATCCTTCGTTTATGGTCAAACTCACGGTCACCCGGAGTAAACCGACGGGCTTCAATGAGTTGTAAGGAACCAGAAGAAACCCAGTGCTTAAAAGCGGGACGTTTCGCAAACCCACAACTGACTGTTCCCGCCATTTTCATGGCGTCACGCAATTGCAACCAATGCTCATCTATACTTTTCGGTAGAGTGGTAGCTAGCCTAGAGGCTAGCTCGGTTCGATACTTACTTGCAACAGAAGTTGCAACCAGCTTGCTAACATCAATCCGTTGATGGCGTTCACTTCTTTGTCCACTGAAAAGTAAGGCAAGATTGGCGCAGACCAAGGCATGGTCAGAGTCCAGATAGGTACTCCAAAAGGAGCGGCAGTCTTGTACACAACCACGCCAGCGGTAGCTGATCGCGATGTGATCAATCTGAGTCCAGGCTTGAGATGCAGAGGGAGGACGCCAGGTGGCACATCGGCGATGACTGTGCCGAAAGTTAGTGCTAGCCAGAAACAGGTTGTGGTCTGTGCACAGTTGCAGTAGACGGTCCCCGTTATCTGACCTGCGACCAACGAGTCCCCATCGGCCACCTAAACGACTCTCTTCTGTGCCTAGACGCCTGACCTGAGCATTCAAGTCTCCGGCTAGTACTACAATATCTGTCGAACGCACTTTCTGGAGAAGAACTGATAACTGGTGGTAAAACTCATCCTTGATTGCATCCGGGCTGCAATCTGTCGGGGCATAGGCGGAGATGACGAAAAGACATCGTTTCTCACGCCGATTTCTTCTCACTTTGATGGAACTTTCTAATCTAACAGCACATAACCGACTGTTAATGGGAATCCAATCGACTAGTGCTCTCTCAGCTCTAGCGCTTAGTGCGACACCAACGCCAGCAAGACCAGACGAAGATGCCACAGTGTCCCCGGATAAGCGCACGTAAAACAAGCTTTTCGAAGCGACAGATGGAGATCGAATTTGTAGTACTTCGCCAGAGTCTTGAATACGGGTCTCGGATAGACAACACACGTCGATATTAAGACTTTCCAAAGACATAGCCAGCCCTATCTGTTGTCCGACCTGCATAAATGTGCGAACGTTGAAGGCAGCCAGTTTGAATGGTGCACGTGGTTTCAGAAAATCTGCTTCGGTCCTCGTATTCGGTGGTAACATACAATTTTCAACCGCACAGTGACTCGAGAACGTTTAGATACAGTCGGATTTCCACCAAAGACGAGCCGCTGTATAGGTATAAAAGAGGGTGAATAATGTGGAAAATAATAATAATAATGATAATAATAACAATAATGACAATAATAGTAGTAATAATAATATTAGTATTAATAACGACAATAATTGTAATGATAATAATCTGAATCAATTGTTTGTTTTTCAAAGCGAGAAAGGTAATTTCCATAGGCATAAAGAGTTCATCAATTTGTGTGTGGGCTGTGATACTGCCCGGGTGCCCAAACCGAAGCAGGTGGTTATCTTAGGGGGCCACTCCCCGAGCCTTTGACCTGAAGGTCTAACCCACAAGGCAGTGGAGCATCGTAAGGAGATGCAGTCCCATGGTAGCCGGTGACCAACGATTGGTTCATACGCCATTCGTTCCCGCAGGATACTGGAGCCCATGTGGACCATTGATTTGGAATCCGGTTAAAGCGCCGGACATTCGCTTTTCGTCCTCTCATTTTCGTAGACAACACCCCCGCCACGAGAAGGCAATGAGTAGGACTTCCCTGGCAGAGGCTGTATACGCGTGGCCGTGTGAGAGTATTTCGAGAGGGAGAGCGGACTCTCCCCACTCTCGGCCGTACCAGGGCATTCAGGGGTGAAGACTAGTTTACCAAGTGACTCCCGATATATAAAGAATTGAAGTGGGGCTCTAACTTCCAGAGATGGCTGTAAGTTGATTGTTTTAATCACTAAGCAACTACTCCTAAAAACGCCTCTTATTATTATAAAACAACCTAACACGTTTGTTCATTGTGAATCGTATTCTGATTTTTTCGACATTTCAAGTACTAGTTTATTGAATTACAGTCAAGTGAACCATGTTCTGCCTGAATTTTTAAATTTGTTGTATGGTACTAATATGACGGGCATGAATCAGTCTGGATAGTCAAGCCTTAATTCGTTGGAGAATGAGTGACTTAAGAACTGATTTCTTCCAGTCACCTATGTTATTTTACTGTGCTATTTTTTGTGTTTGTTTTATTTATAGGCATCTAGTCCTTTTTTCATCACATAAGTATGTTATTCCGATTAGTGGTCTTGTTTTTGATTTCAAAGCATTCAGGGGTTCACGTCAATAGTCAGGTCTTGTAAGCAGTCGTCACAGCCACATTGTATCACTTCATATCATCTGCCGATTAGGATTCTTTACCTTGACTAACAATCGAAAATTCGCTTGCCGGATCATTAGAATTCTAATCTGTAGCAAATAGTTCATTATATTATCAATTTAGTTTGTACCTCCTGTGGCTTGTTTCTTATTGTATAAAAGGAGTGATCAAATATAAATATATTGTTATGCTTTTCTTTGCTTTGCAAGTATAGTTTATCTAAATAAAAAGTTGTACAATATTGAGGGGAGCTGAGTACATATCATTTTAATAACATCCAGAAAGCATATAAAGGAGGAGCTAGATAAACGATAATCACGAAAACTGGGAATTTAGTTGGGGCCATTGTTTTTTTATCTCATTGTTTCATGTGGAAGTATCTTCTGAATTTCTACTCTCTCCAATTTAGTGCTACATCATGTCAAGCTTTAAGTCACTTTGCACCATCTCTAGGGTATTGTTCAAGAAGTTGCGGTACACTTATATACTCTCATCCAACACCTGTAGTTTATCTCACAGCGTCTTTCATAAGTAATTCCGTCTTTCAACCACTTATGGCGGTAGCAATTACTACTCATCGTGATAGTCTCTGAGAAGGTAATTTCTCTACTGTTGTATTACTTACAAAATTTGAATATTATTGTCGAATTAACAAGAATTTCGGAGTGAACATTGGCATAGGATTCAAAGTTTGTTTTATTGGTCCATAAATAGAAAGCCTTAACCTGACCACAACCCAGTTTGTATAAACTCTTATGTACTGATCAGTTTAACCTCCCTTCCCATACATATTCATACATTATTTTCTCGTGATAGGTTTGTACAGCCATTTTCAACCGCCTTACTTTTTCAAAGTTTCATTATGATTGCTACTATGCTTATTCTACTGAGAGCTATTACTCAGTTGTCTAGCATAAAGCGTTCTCCGTCTATGCCTTGTACAATCAGTATTAGGAAAGTAGAGACAGAGACTTGGAATATCGATCAGTTCCAAGGTGAGTTGTTAAAGTATTAGAACGTTTCAAAATATTGGTTTTTTGTTTCAGTGATTTGTTTGTTTCAAATGTCTCTCGAAGATTGTCCTTGTTGAGTTTTTACGTTTAGGTGAAATTTTGCTTACAGATGATTAAATTATGCAATTGTATTCTTTTAATGATTGCAGAGTTGTAAATCATCTGGATATTGATTTATTTAATTTGGTTAAGTTATCAAACTGTATTTGTAGATGTATTAAGTGCATCTAAAAGTCTATTATAAAAATCTGTCCGTGTTTATTAAGTCAAATTCACCTTGAAAATAAAGATATGGACAATTGTTTTTTCATGTGATCATGAGGTTATTTCCAATCTTCGTATATTGACGATGTTTTATGATTCATACTGGAGACAATATGGGTCGAGTGCAGAGACGCCAAAAAGTTTTCTTGAAGTTGTCGTAGTAAAAAAAAGGTTCTTGAACATATTAATGATAAAGTGATGCAACGTCCGATTCAGTGCGTTCAGAGAATTACGGAAAAACATATAGGGATACATCTTAGGAATAGGTTAGAAATAAGCATTGTAATGATTTCCTTTCTCAACCTAATATCGGTTTTATCCTTTTTTTATATGTATTTGAACTATCTCTTCCGTAAATTTCATGAATAAGGACCTTAAATACTACAATAAGTAACCGAATTGTTACATGGGGTGCCCTCCTTGTGTTAAGCGACTGTACATCGTAGCATGAGTTGTTTGATGCTAGGTGTTTGAAAGTGGTCGATTGGAACAATTTAGTAGTATCTGTTCTGCTCTTGAAACTGTCGGCTGTAGTCCTATAAGAAACTTCAGCATTTTATAAATGCCAACCAACAAGTAACCGAGGTTCAGGGTTGTTTGACAGCCTCATATAGCTACCTAACAGATGGAGTAAACATAAAGTCAGTCTGTATATACACTTTCCACATTAAATAAGCCCATAACTAGCTAAAAAATTTTCTACCAAAATAGGGTTAAGTTGACTGAATATACGCATTATTCAATCATTTCATGTTGAAGAATTTTAAAAGTAGTAACCATATTATGGTGACCTTTTCAATAGATTTCTATTGCTCTGAGCTGTCGCTTATTACCTGAAGGAGATAGCCGGTCACTCTATGGCATAAGTTCTTATCTTTTTTTATAATAAAATGACGGCACATTGGTTATAGCATTCTTTTCGTTTAGACCATAAGTGGTTGGTCATGTGATTATGTCAGTACTGATACTAGTTAATATTCACAATGTTCGTGCACACTCATCTTAATATGCTTGATGATATAAAACATTAAATCTATCACTTTTATTATGATCAATATACAACTTTTAACTATACGATCACCTTTGTTTTCTGTCAGTGGATGGTGGATATGGCTATACGCGTAAAACTTCTCGAAGTTCTCATAGGCACCGTTATGCCTGGTGGTCAAAGCGTGATGAAGAGTTAGGAGCAGGAGCTATATCTGGTTAACTCCGGAAACTTCCAAGTCGTCCGAGCTGCTAACAGCTAGATGCGTAGTGTAAATGAAACATCCTATGTGATTAATGGCACGCCGATTAGTAATCTTCAAAGACACTTTGAATGCTAAGTAGGGTACTTTGTGGGTTAGTTTAACTGGTTTCCTACTACTCAAACAGTATCAACAAACCTGTCCTGTTCTTGGGATGTGTCTATCAGTACACCGAACTAGGCGGAGTTCCACAACGAACTCCAGCTTCTGGAGCATTCCTAGTCATTAATCTCAGACAACCTACCCTCAACTCTTTTCAACGATAGAGGCAAACATCTGCTCAGAGAACTTACCAAACCGTTTGGAAAGATTTAGCAATTTAAGAGCGTTTTATCGTCCTGGACTGAAGCGATTGTCGATTCATATCTTTGAGGGGTCTATTTAAAGGTTGCAATATTTTTGACGGTAAGAGTCTTATAATTGCATCTAAACTATGCTTCTAGAATTGTGAAATTCTTGTAAAAAACTGATATATGATAAGCAGATGAATTTTCTTTCGTTTTGTTCGATCATTTCTGACATTTCATCTACATCGATCATTTCCTAGAGTTTACTCATGTTTGTTTGATACTGTAGTAATAGTCCGTTTAGTATCATGGTCTCAAATAATCGCTTTAGATGGGTTATGTCATTTCAGCTGCTTCCAAACTGTGCACTAGGTGCTTACTCTAATACTGGGTGAAAAATCGAAATCACTAGTTCATAGCACATCACCATGGAATGATAGGTTGTTGCATACGACTAGCAGCTATTAGCCTAATTTAATTTCCTGATTGGGTTTATTATGATAATGCAGCTCAATAGTCTGATATGTCAGATATAGGTTAAAGCAGAGCTCAATGGTAATCTGGCTGTAGTTTTTTCTCACAGTTCTTATAAACACGAAAGTAATTCTAACTGTAAGAAGTCTTCTTTTTATTTTTGACTGGATTGTATATTTTATTAAATACCATTCTTGTTTATTTGTTCATTAATAATATGACGTTTCGCGCTTCTATTTTCTCATACTGTCATTCTACATTGCGTAGTAAATTCTTCTGAATGCCTTTTACCGAAATGTTTGTGTTATAAATAAACATTTATTCTGAGCAAATTGTTCATGCTTAAGATTAAATTATGTGGAAGTATGATTAATTCATTTTTGGAATAAGTTGTTTACTTTATGAATGGCTATTATATGTGTTGAATACATGGATGTTTAATCAAGAGTATATTCTGTTACCTAACTTGGAAGACATCAGAAATTACAATGCGATTATTGAAGCCGTTTGGAATAGATGTAGCTTACAAATCCACAAAATCACTTCAATCAATCCTATGCAAACCAAAAGACTAGATGACTAAAGAACAAAAACCTCCCGTGATCTAAAAAATAAACTGTTCCAATCACTAAAAACGCTACATCGGGCAAAGTGGACAACCCCTTTATCTTTGTCTCCACGAACACCAATTAGCGGCCAAACGCCACGACATATCCCCGCTTATATCAATGCATGTGGACAACTGTAGATATATTCAACTGAAGAAATGTTGAGATCTTGGATATAAGGAATACTAAAAACACCAGAGGGTTTTTAGAAGCCTGGCACCGAGGTCAATTAGCAATCACCAAATGCATTGAAATCGATCCGATCTATCAAAGCAATCAGAAAAATTACCAGCATATGGTTGTGGAAATCATGAATCGATCAATGTTAGACCGCTGTTGAAAACCTAGAAGCACTGAACGGCCGTCTCGTCATAGGATGAGACTCCTTAGCAGTGCTCATCCACAATTCCGCGTGAGGGATCTAAGACTACTAATCTTTATAGTAGTGCTATAGAGATTTTCAGAGTGGGAAATACTTGGATTTATTGAAGCGTTAAGAACGAAATGAAAATTGTAAACTTTAGTGATTTATTTAAAAATGAGTATATACATACTCTCGTGATATTGATTTTACTTTTAACATTATTATAGTATAGGTAACGTTGTTCTCTTGCATTCTACACCTTTTTTATGTTTTCCCATTGATTTATAATTTGGTCCTTTCATTTCTGTAAATATCTTGACATATTAATTTACAATCATGTTTGACAGAGTGTATTTCCCTTGTAAATAATCGAACCAAATTAACATTTTTGCTAATCTTATTTGGTTATTTATTTATCAAACCGCTAAACGTCATAAATTCTATTTCCTACTCATTGGATATCAAAAATATATCACTATTTCACTTCTAATTCCCATTTTAGTAGAATTGGAAATTTATTAAGAGGAAATATTTAACTAGTAAGAATAATTAAATGAGTGAATGTATATTGTATTATTAACATTGACCCTAGTATTATTAATATCCCATCAATTTTAGTGTATTATCTTGCAGTCAACCGTAATAACAAGGAATTCCCTTCTCCGGTTTGTTTTATGTTTACATTTCACATAGATATCTGGCTTCGTAATTTTTGGAAATGGACACATTTCTCTAACTATTTATTATTCCTATGTTTATTTACACTGATTTCCGGTCTGTGCACTTACTTATTGTCATCGAGTCAAATTTATATTCAATTATTGGGCTTTACTGCCTTGTTCATCGAATCTATGTTGGGTTTACCACAATTTACGAAGAATTATTATAATAAATCGATTGTTGGAATGAGGTAAGTGGTTAGTAGTTTAATTTGAGAGTTTTCATACCTGAAGACAGGCAAGTGAACAAACAGCCATATCGTTTTTCAATGACTCTCCTCTTAACGTAAAATGGTCCAAAATAGTCTATACCAACAGAATTGAATGGTGGTACGTAAGCTTCCAGGTGACATTCGGGTAGTGAAGCCGTAATCTGTGTGCACGGCGTAGTGTTGAGTTTCTTGCATAAGAAGCACCGTTTCAGGACTCTTTGGATAGCAGCCTGAGCTTTAATGACCCAGAACTCTTCGCGGAGACTGTTCAGGGTGTGAGTAATACCAGAATGCGCGTTCTGCAGATAATAGTGCATTACGACCAAGTCACTAACAAAATGATTACTAAGAAGTATAAGCCGATGTTTGTTTTCGAAGGGCAAGCACGATAATTGAAGTCGTCCCTCTACTCGAATGACATCATTTATTACGAAGGAATTAAGATTCTTCATCGGGCTCTTACGCGCAACACTTCTCATTTTCTTACCAGCAGACATTAGATGGAGTGTCATTTCCTTATTCGAAACAGATACATTATATCAGTCATTCTTGTGATTCACATGTACTGCCGTGCTCGTTTTTATGCTGTATGTGCCTTAGCGTCTCCATCTCTATGGGGAATTAGATTATTTCAACCAATTTAATTATATTTTGCTTCGCACTATCAATTTCTCTCAATCTCAATCTACCATGAATTAACGGTCTTCCGTCTAATTTCATCCTCATATTGTGGACGAACCGTTTGTATAGAGCGAATATTCTCAGCATTTTGGACCAGGTCTTACAATTACTAAATTGACTCAAAAATCGGTCTAAATGACTCCCCGCTAATGTTTCGCCTAATTCTTCTGTAAACAAGTGGGCTAAAACATGGTTCTCCTCTTCGCATGAATTTGACCAACCACTTTCGTTCTGCCATAAAATGTTCGGTCCGTGAAACCACTCTTTTTTATTTTGATGCTATCATCTAACGACAATCCACGCGAAGCATGATCCGCAGGATTCTGTTTACTTTTAACATATTTCCATTGGCTTGCTGTAGACAGCTCGTGAATCGTTGGTAAGCTATTGCTTACGAATCTCTCAAATCTTTTGATTGTATTTCTTATACAATGAAGTACGACCAATGAATTCGTCCAGTAAATGACAGAGATAGGGATGCGTAATTGTTGTTCCACGTGTTTTCCAATCTTAGCACACAGTACAACAGCTGTTAATTCTTCTGACTTCTTCATATCCCTTTTTTCCTCTTTCCAACTTTATTTCACTGGATTATACTCGAATAACATCTATAAACCCTAATCTTTTCGATTACTGCTTATACTTTTACTACCTCTACCACTACGGGATTTAAATCGAAAACTGCATCTCTATGCTAATGTGGTATGGCAACTCGAACTGATGTACGTACGTACGAAGTTCTACGTTGTTACTAACTGATTAGGAATGGTTATAGGTTTCACTGGGCCAACCATGAACTTAGCTAATAGAAAGGAACAATGAACTTGATGGGAGATATCCTCAAAACGACCATAAGCCACAACACCATATGCAAATCCTGAGGCATCGGCAAAGCAAGTGAATATGAGTACCCAGTGGTTTGTACGACTATGGTACGAGACATCTGGAAAGTAACAGTTCACTTATGCGCCTCATACTTCTGAGCTAAGTCCCATCTCATAAAGTACTCCCTAGGAAGCTCTGCGTCCCGTGCCAGATTGTACCGACAAGTATGTTGCAAAATTAATTTAGCTGGTAAAACAACGAGCTGTAAACCCAACTGGGTCGAATATAGAAGCTACATACGACAAAATGGTTCTCCTTGTAGGAGTCGCATTGAATTCACACAACCTGAAGATCTTATCCGTTCAAATATTCCACTTTATTCATAGAGTCCTTTCATTTCTTTCCATAGATAAACAAATGTCTTCGCTTCTTTCTACGCGGTCTTCCTTTGGAACAAACTTCAATTATTCAACATTGTTACTGCATCATTTGATCAGATTAAAACCCCCTAAACGTAACATTTCCTTCAGCTGAGAATATATTAATTTAGCTTCTAACGTATTAACACTGGTTGATAACTTGGTGAGGTCGCACCAAACAAATGTACTTTCATCTTACAAGTTTCTGGTTCAGTTCTTATGTCACCACCATAAAAGTTTAAGGGCATCGCGATCCTGTGGCGGTACAATCACTTGATGAAACATAGCTTCAAAATCTGCCGTGAGACCTATTGACCGTTGCCGAAATTTGGTGGAGACATCTACCAGATTGTTAACTAAATCTGGACCAGAATACAGTGTATTGCGCTGCACAGTCGAATACGATTCTTAGCTTATTAAGTTTTTTTGGATGGAAGAAAGGGTGGTGCGGTAAATACCAAACCCGACACCTAACGAAGTTCTCTGTAGCCTTTCCGGCGTATCCCCGATCAGCATACTATGCCATCACATTAACATATTCTATATGCAACCTCTGGTCACGGATGAGCCGGTTTCTCAAGGAATTTAATTTACTCATAGTTAGTTTTTTATTATTATGTAGGCTTTGGTGGTGACGCCAGGGCAAAGCTATTTGGTAATGCCTGTTCACTAATTGTGTAGATTTGGACATAGCATTTAAGGCTTTACGATCTTCAGCCGACATGGGCGCATGTTGATTCGGGTCTTCTTCAAAGTCCATCTTATATAACTGGTCTAATCTAGCTTCTAGTTCATCTTTCGACAATAGATAATTTATGATACCCATATTTCTCGTGGTCTCACTGTAAGGTCCAAACAACGTCCACCCTAAAGGAGTTTTTATAGCGTATGGTTCGTTAGATTTTCCCACTCTCATTTTTATCTTATGTGCCTCAGGTACATTGTACCTGACGTCTTTGATGTCAACTCTTGGGAGGGTCACACCGCAAGTAAGACCACGATGCCATCTGATATGTTGTTGATACCGTCCCACGAAACAGGTAATCTCTCGACTGTCCACACCTTTGAAATTCTGAGTGATGAAGATAAATCTAAGGGGCAAACTTCTAGTTGGATCTCATTACAATGAAATGGGGATTGGCTATCCAGAGTTTTCAATAAAAGCGTCTTGAACTCTTCCTCTGAACTCAACTTTCTAGCTAAATATTCTGTAATAAGCGAAGCGTCTGAGCCATTATCTAGGAAAGCGCAAGTGTGTACTGCCCTTTCTCCATTTTTTACCAATACAGGTACTATTGCAAATGCTACTGGTCTCAGTACACGCTTAGCACTTTCCTTCGTACAGAGTTGGGTATTGATATGCACATTACTATTACTGTCTCCCTACTCTTCCCGCTTCCTGTTTAACAAGGTGTGGTGTCTCCAGTCACATCCTTCGACGGCACATGACCTCGGTGCCCGACGGTTTCTTGCTTTGTGGTTCACCTTCAGACAGACACCGCACAACTTCTTTAATACAAACTCTATCCTTTCATTGATATCCTTATCTCTTAACCTTTCATATTGGTCTAAGGGGTGGTTTCCAGTACATAATAAACATGAAAACTTAAAGGTGCTTGATCTTACGTGTGAAGTGACATCAGACACACTCGCGTTAGCGGACGACTCTCGCCTTATACTCTGAATGAAGATTTTTCTTAGTAACAACAGCCGACTGCCTTTTGTTTCGTTTAGAACGATCTTCACTGACAAGTAATCCGTAACTGGTATTAACAATATCCGACTGCTCCTTCACAAATTTGTAAAGGTCCTTAAATTAAAGCTCTCTACTCTTCTTAAGAATTCTGCATGCCACTTTCGCCCATTCTCTTTGTAAGTGTGGTGGGAGTTTCAAAAAACATACTCTCGATAGACTTTGTAGAATTCAGATCGGATACATAGTTCATCTACGTGAGTGTTAGATCACATATCTGCGTCTCACAAGATAGTCTTCTTAAATTATCTGGATTAGTCCCCTTAATAGCAGGGATGTTCAGCATCTTACCAATAAATGCATGAGATACGATGTGCTTCTGACCGAATGCTTCCTCGAGAAGCTCTAACGCCTTACGATAGCCTTCTTTTGGTTCAAGCAGTACACAATGAACAATAGTAGATTTAGCTTTACCGTTAAAATACTGAATCAAATAATTTAACCTAGATCGACTTTCAGCACTTGCATCGAAGCAGTTTACGAAATTCCGTATGAAACTCCAATATTTCACGGGATTACCGTCAAACATGATCTCTCTTTTTGGTAGGTCCATAGCTTTAGATATCATTGTTACTCAGTCCTTTCCAGGAGGAACATCAACTGCACGTTGGGCAGATGTAAACTTGTACGACGTCACCTTGTCAGCCACAACTTGACTATAATGCTCTCTCCCCTTTTGACATAACCTTTCCGACTCAATTTCTCTTTCTGTTTGAGCTAAGCGTACTTTAGGTAATTCTAACTAACAGGGGATCCGTTCGGTAGCTGTTTTCGAATCTTTGTAGGATTTAATTTGTTCTACAGACATTCTGCTAGAACTGCAAACGTGATACTCGCGACCCCAGAGTCTATGTGAAAGCTATGAACAGAACAAGGACAACTTGGCTTTAAACTTGATCTGTTTTTAGAAATGAAAACGATTAGATTAGTACAGTAATGAAAGGAATTATAATCATTAAGTGAAACGCATAAACATACCGACCAGTATTATCGAAATGAATAAAAATGAGTCACACTAATATAATAAGATAATACTGTCCTTCAATTGGTAGATTATATGCAACGGGGATAGTCTACAGACACATCAAACCAGATTGACGTGGTGAGAGCTTAAGCAACAATTTGATTGGTTAGTCATGGACATAATTAACACAAAGTTCTCACTGACGTTTATTATTGTACAAACCTTTTGATGAACCATCTAAAACTTTTTGAACCAGAGACAAACAGGGATACTAGATTGAATCCTTACAAAGTAGATTAAATAATAATAAATAAAGGCTACCTACCACACTTTCTTGAGTTGTAGCGTTTGGATGGGAGGAAAACCCGGTGAACTTTATGGATCAGTTTCGGTGGTTTCATTACTACATTAATCTAAGTGAAGTTCAAACAAACAATGGAGCTCTACTTGTATGGATTTATGCCACACACATGTCTAGCTCTCAGGAATGTAATGCTAACACTGAAAAAAATAAATTATAATAAATATTGTTTTCATTTCTTGAAAAATATCAACCGATTAGTTGTTCGGGATGCAGATAATCTAAATATCGAAATTAATTATCTGTTTATAGTACAGAGCACTAAATCACATATAACCCTGATCTTTCACGACTGTCTTATTAAAACCTAAGAGTTCATTTCCTGGTTATCGATAAATTTATATTTAAAATTAGTTTCTATAGATCTTATTCAATTTTGAATATATTTCACCAGTAATTGTAACATTTCGGAAGAATCAATATGAATTCTGATTGTTTCTGGCATTTATCGAACTATCTTGTGAAATTCCCTTTGAATGTATATATATATATCAATTATAATTTAATATAGTAGTATAGAATTCTAGAAAAATACTGTTTAGCTAATTAAATCTTAATCTAACTGTCCTAGTTTACGTACTTTTTTTGAAGACTCATGCAATAAAGTTTGCCTTTTAAGTTGCACTTTATCGTTATTGTTAATTTTGTTTGGTTGCTTTTCACATTAAGTAAAAAAAGATTCTTTTTAATGGACTAATTTTGTTTCAATTTATTTATTCTATTGATTACATTAGCAACTCGTTGAATTTGAATTGTGTGCAATTTAATCGATTTTTAATGCTCTCTAGTTGATCACATTTAAATGTATGCGGATTTAATTATATGAAGGTAATTTTCGTCATGAAGGCCTTGGAAAACAGTGTCAGTTGTTTTATCTGGGTTAAGGATCCCTAAATAACTTATACATATTGTATTGCACGACATCTAACAGAGGACGATCGACACTGTGATTTACACCATACCTTTGGCTGACTGAATTAGAGTTCAATGTCGATATTTCCGAATTCAATCGATATCTGAAATAATTAAGGTAATAAGTAACTTGTTTGTCAGTTAACATTTTTAGATACCTTAAAAAAGGTTACCAGTCCGGCTCACGATTAAATACTGTTTTTTTCTTTGAATTCAGTTAATTGATGGTGTTAGGAAAGGAATAAAATAAATGAAATTTATGCATTTTCAAATGCAAAACTATTACAATGAAATGAATTAGACAGATGACTCACAAATCTTGAATAGTATAATGAAGTATAGTAAGATAATAATCAGGAGTATTGTATAATGATAAAAATTAGGACCGTGATAATGAAAGCGCGTGTACCAAATGTTCGATTAATTCTGAAAACTTAATACTGTTATTATTTATTTATTTGAACACGTAAACATTGGTGCAAGAAGGCGCTAAATACATATGCACCACACAGCAATGATGGTGTGAAGAAATAGAGAGTGGGGGTTGAGTAAGACAGTAAGACGATATCGTCCGCATCTTCAAGGTCGAAGTCTTTCTCCCGGCAGCAGATCCGCAGATCCTACATCCATCGGAGCTGTTTCCAGAACGTCATCGTTGGCAAAGTTGGAGAGGAATAGTGAGATCGGGCAACCGTGACTAAACATGTCAAATTAATGTAAAACTTGCATATCTCTATCATCATTATCAGATTTACAAAGTTGAAATCTGGGAAGCTTTTAGTAGTCAGACTGTTGATCATGCTTTGATTGATATACGTTAGTCGCAAGTAGCATGGATGATTTAGTCTCATATCACGTGTCGAGTTGTCAACGATTTCACTTTTTGAAGGTTAGAGAACTTGTTCCACCAAATCTTTAAAAGTTGATTACTTTTCATTTGTGACTGTCAACAAATTGTCTTAAATTTAACATAAATTCAAACTGATATTATTATCTTTCATTTTTTTGTCATCTTCAGTATTTCAATGGTGTTAATGTGGACTTCAGGTGATATATTCAAAACAATTTACTTTATATTAGAAAATGCCCCATTACAGTTTCTAATGTGTGGTTTACTACAGATTGGATTAGATTTAGCCATTCTTCTACAATGTTTATTTTATAGAAGTGAAGGATTTACGTGATATGAATGTTACAATTGATTAAGTCAATATGGACAGCGAAGACAGTGGTGTCAGTTTGTATGTGATTGTGGATAGTAAAGTTACTTTTCTTGTTTATCTGAAATATTTATCATTTTGTACTTCGGTTGTAGAGAGATCTTTTCTATTCCCATCAATTTCACGTACTAGTTCTCTTTTTATTTTGAGATCTCATCTAGGTGACATTGTATATTTGTCTAATTTTTGTGATTGTTCACTTTTGTATTTTCTCTGCAATTCTTATGTATTTCAGCTTAAAGTAAACTTGGAGCGATTACTATAACCCTCTGATTATGTCATTTTTGTCAGATTGTTCGGTCTACTATATGTGATAATGAAGAGTTTATAAACAGTTAATAAATTTATCGCTTTAGGATCGACATCCTTCTGTTTCACTGATTAACTTAGCTCTTCTGTAGTATGCACATTGAACAGCTGTCTATTGACAAAGATCATTCATTAAAGTCGACAACTGATGAGTGTTTCTGATTAAATGAAATCCATAAATTTAAAAGTGTAATTCTAATCGCAAGACTTGAATGTTTAGATGATTAGGAAGAAATGAATTAAGTTTGATATTTAGGTCATAATTTCATCGTCAGTTGAGTGACCCGTGAAATATGTACCATTCAGTAGATCATCTTCCAATTATCTTTTTATCATGTTTACTCTTTTGTTCAACATTTCGTATGTAGGGATTTTATGTCATCAATTGATTGGCACTGATTTCATCAATTTTAACCATCTGAAACTCGTTCACCATTCATGATTAATCCTGATTCATTCGTATCTTCAGCTATGTTTACACGGTGATAAAAAGCCTTGAACCAAGATTAGACAGGTGTCTAACGTTGTCTCTTAATCTTTAATATTTCTCCAGTCGTGATATCAGTTCTTGATCATAAGGTGATTAAGTTGTCTACCCAAAAACTAATCGTTAAGTTAGGGCAGCCACTAGTGTTAAGTGATTAATTTATGGTTGTCTGCTTAGTTAGATTAGATCTCTGTATTCATATAAACTTAATCAATTATTGGTCGTTTCTGGCTAAAACACACTTCTGAATAAACAATTTCTTCCGATTACTTCAATGAATATGTACTGCTTGTGGAAAACGGTTATTATGACTGCTTAAAAATTGAATGACTAGTTCATCCACCTAACCAGGGATTATCGACCATTTAAGTCATTGAACTAATCACAGATTATATGAACTGCAAGCTATATATTATTCGACGGATTGAGCTTGTCTCCTTTTATTGTTTGTCTGAAGTTAACAAGCCTCGAAAGCATGCGTTAACGATTGAGTGAAGGAGCAGTTTATGTTTGTAATCCAGTTATTGATATAGATTGTCCGCGCTATGTGGGTTGTAATCCTGCTTTGCTTCGGGCACCCGGGCAGTATCCCAGCCCTCACACAAATCGAATGATTTATGTGGCGCATATCTATTTGGTGCCTCCTTGTACCAATGCTTGTGTTTTCAAAATAAGTAGATGCAATAAAATGAATTCGTTGCTTTGATTAGCTTTTAACTTCGCTTGGACGGTTTAATACAACAGTACATAGAGAGTAGTTAGGATGGATCCAGTCAACTAGCGAAATTTGGGCTCTAGAGTCGGATGGAATATTGAAAAAATGAACGTAAACTTTATGGTGTTTTTGAATTTATAAGTGTAAAACCTAACTATTTTAATTAACAAATGTAAAGAAGTTGATGAAGTCATGAATTCAGATTTCTGGTTTACATCATACACAAATGACTAAACTTGTCAAAATTCTAATCATATCTGTCGCTTTTTTGATCGACATTTTAAATAGCAAGTCATAATGATACGTGATGTTTTAAAATTACTGGATTAGACACTACTAGAGTGACACTAAGTGAGAGAAAGCGAGGACTTATGAACTTGGAAGGAGATTTATATTAATCAGAACATTCAAAAATGACTGGGTGCTGAATGAAATAGGTTATAAAAAAAGTAGGAAGTGTGTTAGAATACAGTAGATTTAATGAGTAAGGTTATTTATTATGATATGGAACTAATAAAGTATTTATAAAAGGAATTCCGTATACTCTTCATCTAACTGTCATGGTTTATAATAACTGGTACTGGATGGTGCGCACGAACCGAAATGGATAACTTTCGAGCCAATGACATAGTAGAGGTCAGTAAGGAAGCATTCAGTTAGCTACAACATAAGACCAGGCACATATATGCATCGGTTGAAGTTGCCATACCTCATTAGCACAACAAGATGAACACCGAATTCATAGAAGTACTTAATTCAGTGATAGTAATATATAAAAGAAAGATTGAATATAAGGATGTCGTACAGAATGAAAGAATTAGTTCGTAGAAAGAAAGATATGAAGTGATTTTAATCTCACGGTTTAAGGGAGGACAAAGTGTATACACTGACACCATTGTGATAGATTCTAAACCATGTCATCCAGAGTTTCCAACCACTGGTTACGATAGTCACGCGGACCGCAACCAAGTAGTCTGCATCTGCCAACATGGCTCAAACCAGAAGTTAGTGACTTCAAGCACTGATGCCACGTTTCGGTTTAACCACCCCTAACTTTCTTCCAACCATTCCATACACTAGTCAACATTGCATGTCGTGGTAATTGGTGTTCAGGCATACGTAACACGTGGCCCAACCATCTCAGTCGATGAAGATTCACAACCTCATCAACTGATTTACCATCATCATTCCCTAATACCCTACGTCTAACCTCACTATTACTTACCTGGTGATCCCGGCAGAGGCGAGCTATATTTCTAAGACATCTGTGATCAAATACTAGTAGCTTACGAGTATCTTCTACTCTTAATGACGACGTTTCACAGCCGTGAAGTAGAACAGAGTGAACTGTTGCACAGTATACTCGTCTCTTAATTGATAGTCGGATATATCGCCTTCGCCATAGGTGACTTTTATTTTTGAAGAGATTACGAGTTCACCTGAGAACGGAACAAAGACTTTGACCAAAGACCAATAAGCTAGCTATTCTGACGCGTCCCAGCCCAGTTAACTAGAGAGAAAAAGTCCAAGTTCGGGAGAGGGAAATATATTCCACAAGCAGTCAGAAGCACGAGCAACCACGACAAGTCTAGTCCGAAATACACACTTATTTATATATTGATTCATACACCCATTTTTTATTAATAATTACAATAAAATCACATATATATGAAAAATACTTTATACAAGAATATCGTTTATTTTATTTATTTGAACACATAAATATTGTTACAAGGGGCATCAGATATATATGCGCCACACAAAACAATGAGAATGGGAAGAGAAAAAAGGAGGTAATGTGCGTATAAGAAAAGAACAGATTAGTTGTCAAAAGTCATATGCTGAGAATAGATCATGTCCACTGAATACAAGAATATCGTATGTTATACAGAATAAAATATCATACGGGAAAAAACACTATTGGGTAATCATCATACTGAATTAAAACGGAAGTTATATTGAACAAAAAATCGTAATGAGTAAATCAACCTAATTTTGACTTTTCATCCCGTCATATCAGTGACGTAAGTTAGCAAAAACCAAACGAGCTTTTTGAATCCGTAAAGAGATTTTGCCAGACACCAACCCATTAGCGATGATCAGACTTCCAAGATAAGTGAAGATGCCAACGCGTCCAGCTACTTTACTCCCTATCCTATGTTCAAGTGTTGACGCAGGCCAGTCCTGAAGCAACATCTTGCATTTAGAGACGGAGAAACACATCCCAAACACCCTGGCATTGTTACTCAGTGCTACCAAAAGACTCGGCATTGTATCAGCATCTTCACCAAACAGGATTATGTTATCTGCGTATTCTAAGTCGACAAGTGAACCTCCTGGTATGAGATCAATGCCCGAGAATTCTGTCGATGAAAGCGTTATTTCCACCAGTAGTTCCATGATTAAGTTGAGGAAAAATGGAGAAAGTGGACAGCCTTGCGAAAGCAGATCACAGTTCGCCTTAAGCTCTGACTCGATTGGTAGTGTTCGAGTAAAGAGCCTTCACAAGGCTTATTTACTTCTGAGGTCTGCCTTTCAGACACTGCCACAGAATCTCGCGGTCTACGGAGTTAAATGCTACTTTTAAGTTAAGAAAGACCACGATTGTAGGACGCCGATAAGTATGCCTATTTTCTAGAACCCGACGAGTGGTGAATATGTAGTCGATACAGTCCAAAGCGAGCCTGATTTTCTTATGTTTGCAGTTCACGAGTCTTTGTTGGGCTCCCGATAATTGTTGAGGCTAGTATTTTAGATGCTATGTTAGTCAAATTAATCCTTCTATGGTTGTCACAGAATGATTTTAACCCTCTCTTATATATTGGGGCGATAAGTGATTGTGACCAGTCAAATGGTATAACGTCCAACTCCCAGATCTTAGCTAAAATATTGGTCAACCTAATCGCTAAATTTGGACCACCATCTCTAAAGACCTCTGGAGCCAATCAATCTGGACCAGCTCCCCTTCCTCGTTTCAGATTAGCTATAGCGTTTTGAACTTCTGCTAGAGTTGGGGGACCTACTTCAATGTTCCATTCACACTGTCTGGGAATGGAGGGTAGTTATAGAGTGGCCGAAGGCCGGCTGAACTGCTTCTTAACGTGTTCCGCCCGTCGTTCTACACGTCTGGGCTGTGAGTAGATAAGTGTCGTCTTGACTTCTTAATCCCAGTTTCTTTTATTAGTCTGTGGAGCTGTCTTGTGTTACCCACAGCTGCTGCCTTTTCCATCTCTTTCGTTGTCCACCACAGCTCGCGGTTGTTCCCTAGGATTTTTGGTTAACCTAAATCTGATTTGTTTTCGCTCTTCA